ATTGTTCATACCACTGGGAGAAGCTTAAAACTACTGTTAGACTTATGTGTCAGATCTCCAGGGAATGCTTTGAATAACATGGGAGGCTTCAGTCTCTTCAAAAGAGACCTGGCACTGAGCAATATCTGGCTGTTCTTATATGTAGTAGGGTGCCTGTGGGGCAGGATCTGTTGCTCTAGTTTATACAGCCTGTTTATTGTCTTGTGTCTTTAGTCTGGTCTATCTGGCCATACGTACTCCAGAAGTCCTTTTTCTTTCCTATTGCTTATTGTTATCAGACCCAGCTAATCCTTATTAAAGTGTCTAGGATTTCATGCCAAATATGCAATTATTTCTACTTGATATGCAAAACCTGTATCACAACTTTCTTGCAGTCCTTAACTCTTAGAATAAAATCACTAACTGCTGTCTGAATCTATGCACCAATACATGCTGGGGGACAACCAGCTGGAAAGCAGCTTTGCAGAAAAGGACCTGGTGTACTAGTGGACATCAAGTTGAACCTGAGCCAACAATGTGTCCTTGCAGCTAATGTGGCTAAAGGTATCCTGGGCTGCATTAGGCAAAGCATTGCCAGCAGGTCAAGGGAGGTGATCCTTCTCCTCTCCTCTGCACTGGTGAGGCCACACCTGGAGTACTGTGTCTAGTTCTGGGCTCCACAATACGAGACATGGGAGATGCTGGAGAGAGTCCAGCAAAGAGTTACTAAGGTGATCAAGGGACCGGAGGGTGTTTCAGTCCTCCTATGAGGAAAGGCTGAGAGAGCTGGGACTGTTCAGCCTGGAGAAGAAAAGGCTCAAGGGGATTTCATCAAAGTATATAAATACCTGAATGGAGGGCGTAAAAGAAAATTTTATTCTTCTCCTAGAAGGGAAACAAAGCCTTGTGCACTTGTTCATGCTTACAGATGCAGAAGGTGATAGTTTTGTCCCATTTTTCCTCCTTCTGAAGACCAAGAAGCCAAAGTAAAATGGCACACCTAGTTATGATAAAGCTCACTTGAAGGCAGTCTCCGATGTGCTTGTTCTTAGTTTTGTACCCTTTCATTACTTCTACAGGGACTAAATTGCATTTGGTTGTGAACCATTTCAACTTGCAGTGGTATTGATCAAATTTTAAACTTAACCATCCCTGATGCTAATACAAAGACAAGGACAGCTAAGATGGGTCTGCTGACTATTGCAAGCTTTTAAGCTGACATAGAGACTTGCCCTAGCAAACCTTGACAAGCCAGTAGAAAAAAACCAATTTGAATAAAGTATGTGGCATTGGTATGTAGCTTCCCAGTTTGGGAGAACCTTGCTGGTCTTCTCGGCTTGCCCCTAGAAGAAAATTGAAAAGTAGAATAAACAGAAGTAGGAACATATCCATAATATCTATGTGAGTCAAGGCTTCTCCTCACTATTTTCAAATTTGTTTTGAGAACTTTTCAGCCCTAGTGTTAATCATATAGGAGGGATGCAAGTGGCATGTGCCCAAAGCATCTGAGAGAAACTCCTTGTCTTTGCCCAAGATAGAGATTTAACAACTATTTCATGTGATATGTGATAAATCTGGAGTGAACCTGACCATCAGGGGGTTAATAAAAATGTCACCAAACCCAGGAAATAAAAGGCTGTATTGGAGCAGTGCTGGGGTCTGTCTGTGGGGAAGTACCTGCAAATGGAGCAAATTGTCTGCTTGATTATGTTCAAACATCCCGGTTTCTACTTGTGTTAATGTCATCAGAAGATGTGTAAGTTTTATGTGTGTCTTAAATCTCCCTCTGCAATTGCAAGTCTGTTTACTTTCAGCAATAGCTCCAGGGACTCTAGATCTTTTCCTTTTTCCTTTTGCCAAAGTGCAGAATTGGAGTGGTGGGGAGTGAGGGAGAAGAGGGGGGTTTGATTCCTGTGAGGCGAAAGTCCTTTGATTGAAAATGAAGTCCTGCCTGTACAAACTGTCATGAGGTGGGGTCTAAGGTGATGTGTAAATTCTGAGTTAGCTACTTTCAGCTTTTGAATTTGGGCATATGTGAAAACGTATTTTTCTCCAAGACATCTTTCTAGATATTAAGAACACTTGCAACATCTACCCTCTTCTGCCTTTTGCTCCTTCCCCTCTATTTTCCCACCCAAAGGCTTTTTAGAGCAAATTTTCTGTAGTTTAGGAAATCCAGCACAGGCAACCTGGGGCATTCTGTATCCTAGCATATGACAATAAAGGAATAGATTTACCGGGGGGGGGGGGGGGGAGAT